TATATATATATATATATACAAGAATGGTATGATAAGTAATTCTCTGCTACAAAACACACACACACACTTTCTTACCCTCTTTCTCTTTGTTTTCTTTAAGAACTTGTTTTCTGAACTGCAACGCTCCTTCTGTGATCTCACTTCTTCAACCTTCTCCGAATCTTGCCGCTGAGAAAAAGAGCAGCGACTCAAGAGTTGGGAAGGAGAAATGTGAGAAGAAGGAAACTAGAAATAAGGGAGAATGAGAAACTCTTCTCTATTCTCCCTTCAATTTCTCTAGAAAAAAAAATTTTTTTTTCGTTCGACGTGTTTTCCCTCTTTCTTCTTTCTGCGGTTTCGTGACTTTTTGCGGCTTTTTTTTTTTATTTATTTTTTGTCCTTTCTATTTCTTTTTCACAAGACCTACGGTTGTATGATAATAAGAATAATAATAATAACAACAATAAATTTATTCAGCGGTGCCAAATCAGTTTAAACAGAAAAAGCAACGCTTTAAAAGTTGAATAGAGAAATAACAACAATAATAAACAAAAAAAAAGAAAGAAAGAAAGAAAGAAAGGCATTTTTATATATAAATCACAAGTTATTGTAATCATCACAGTCTCAAGAGGGAATTTTCTCGAACACAGGGAATACACATTGAAGTGATACAATAAAATAGCGAACCCAGACATAATCCACCCAAATATCTTCTTATCCCCTATAAATATCTGCTTTTAATAGCATTAACAAAGGGAAAAAAACTACAAAAAAGAAAATAATAATAATACTAAGGTAACAAAAAAAAACAATCGAAATAATAAAAGTAATAACAAATAAGAAAAAACAATGTAGTGAATCTACATTAATTAAAAAATAAAAAAAAAATGTGAATTCTGGCTGAAATCTTATAGGAAGAAAAACTGAGTGTGTGAGAGGATGGGGGTTTAAAAGGAAAAAACATCAGCAAAAATATCATCTGCCTTCCCTTCACACCAAACATCCTTTGTTATCACAGCAGAAGGACGAGGTCTGGTTAATGGACGGCCTTTACTCAATCCCCCAGCAACAGTCGCCGCACTAGGATTAGCGGCAGCAGCTGTAGCAGTATTTGTATTTGTATGAGTATTATTAAAATTAGAACGTGTGAATGCGGAGCTTAGAGCAGTACTGAGAGCGCAGGTAGAGTTCGCGTTAACAGGTGGCCGCGGCAGTGGTGAAGAGGTATAAGTTCGTTTTATCCCTGTAATGTGGTTCTTATTCTCACGACGATCCTTTTTCTTTCCGCTATTACTAGCCATATCCACATTTATTGGAAGTGTGCGTAGAGGTGAACCTTTCATAGTTCTCTTCTTCAGTGCACTGAGTGGGAGTCGCGTGCCAAATGTCTTTGTCGCACCAATAGATGAAACTGAAGAATTCGGTGATATTTCCTCTTCGTCTACTTCTTCTTTTTGTTGTTGAGATAGATTGGGATATGTACGTCGAATGGCCGCGCTGGATAATACCGTATTACTCCGTGGTCGCTTCTTCTCTGTGTGTGATCGCCGTGTCGTACCTTTCTTTGGTGTTATGAGAGCGAGTGCCTCACCAATGGTTTCCTCTTTCTTCTCAGCAACAACACGTCTAGAAATTAATTTTTCTTGTTGTTGTTGTTTTTGTTGTTCGTGTAAGAGTTGTTCTTGTTCTTCTTGCTGTTGTTGTTGTGCCATAACTTCACGTGTATCGCCTTCCATCTCTTCAATAGTCCCGCGTGTTAATGTTTCTTCCGCTTGTAGTCCCTCACGCGCCTCACACTGCAGGGCAAACAACCGCCGTGCAGCCACTCGCTGTTCATATGCCACTCGTGCAGTTTCCATAATACTCTCATGAGCTCTACGCTCACGGTGAATGTGAAGACGTTGTTGATCTTGACAACGGCGGAAGGCTCGAACGGCGGCATGCACGAGACGAAGACCCTCCGCCCGTCTTTCGTGTATTGCAATCGCTTCACAGATCTTTACATGTGTTTCTCGTGATAATAATAGAGCAGAATTTGTTTTCTTGCGCTCCTCCATTGCAAGTTCCTTCTGCGTTATCAAATGCTGCTCTTGTGCCTGTAATGTATCCATGATGATATGTGTGTACATTTCAATCATCGTTCGTTTCTCACGTAACTGCATAGAGTACCATTCTGTGAATCGTGCTGTTAATGCAAGATGCTCCCGCACGGCGCCGTGTCTGTCGGTGAGTGTGAGTGCCTCTTGCAATGCCATTCTGTAAATAGCATTACGGGCCTCTGCGGCGGCGTGATCCAGACATGCACGATCATATGCCGACTGTATAAACAAGAGCCATTGTTCCTTCTGTTGAGCCGCATGCCATAATTCCTCTCCCTCACTCAATAGCCGTATTCTACACGCTTGTAAAAACTGTAGTCTTTCTGTTTGTTGTTTCTCTTGTTGCTGGACAGCAGCCTCCACCCGTTCGCTCATCTTCACATGTTCATTCATGCGTTCCTGCAGGAGTGTCTTTGCCGCCTCCACCCGCCGCGTGACTTGCACTAAAGCCCGCAGTCGCTGCAGGCCAATCAACACATCCGACAACTGCCGCATAAACACACGCCGCTCCTGCAGGGCCCGCAACAACAACGACACTCTCGCCGGGCAACCCGTCCACGCCGTGGCACAACTCTCAAGTGCATCCCGCAACCGCAGAGATTTCTTCTGTTCGCTGCCAATAAAAGTGACGAGGGCACCAAACTTCACGGAGCTCTGCTGCAGTTGTTGTTGTTGCCGGACGGTCTCTTCACGCAGTTCACACAAATCCTGCCGGCGTCGCTCCACGTCGGTGATGATTTCCTTCAGTCCAAAGAAGAGCGACCGCTTTGTGCGCTCCATCTCCATCAGTCGCGACTCCAGTCGCTCGTAATTACTTGACTGCACGGCCTTCTGCTGCAGCAACGCATCTGTGCAGTTCTCTAGTGTGGACATGGTGCAGCTTTTGCTTGTGACTTACACACACGTGAGAATACCCACAGAAAAGGGAAGGAAGAACAAAAAAAAAAAAAGAGAATCTGACGATTCCCTAACTTCTGTGCGGTTTTGGAAAAAAGAAAAAAGTCTTTTTTTTTCTGTTTTTTATTCTTTTTTTTTTTTATATTCTGTGTCTGTCAATATCTTCCTCTAACCGCACGTATATCACTCTTTTTATTTGATTATGTTTGTAGTGCCGTTTAGCAATAGATTCAGAGAGATATAGAAAAAGAAGTAAATTAAAAAAAAAAAAAAATCATACGAACAGAGATAAACACACACACACACATATATACACACACGTAGAGAGGTAGAGATTTATTTTTAAAAGAGAAAAATACAGAATTCAGATATCTCAAAAGAATGTGAAACTTGAAGAATTTTACACACACCACCAAGGGATTAAAAAGTATACATATTTGTTTTTTTTTTTTTCTCCAATTACTGTTGTTGCATTACCTTCTTCACCGCCAAACTGTAGACATCAGCATGTAATAAACATAAAACTCAGAAACACATCACCCATATATCTCCACACTAAACAATAATTTCAAACGCCTTTGAGCTCTGTAACAGCAAGATAATGTTCACGAAGCCTCTGCAGGACATCTGTCTCGTCACTAAATAGTTCAGGAAAACACTTCACAAGGCGTGTGAGTTCTCTCATACCAGCAACATCAGGAGGAGATTGAGGATTGGCAGTTGCAGTTGCAGTTGTTGTTCCTGTTCCTGTTGCGATGGCGTTTACTACGTTATCCGGGTCACTATCACTATCATAGGCAGCCACTATGCGTTGATCTAATTTAATAAGTGGATCTTCTTCGGTCTCGTAAATTTCATCCACATCTCGATCTAATAACTCTGTTAGTTTCGCCACCACACGTGCCTGAAGATCTCCTGGGAGTGCTACAAGTGCAGCTCCTAGCAAAGGTCCTACACGTTGTAAATATGTAAAAAGACGTTGTTGCCCAGGTGGAAATGCTGATAGTTTCACTACAATAAAACAACAAAGTGCATGCCACATCTTTAATAAGAAGGGTGTAGTTCCACTTACTCCCTCACCACGCATTGTATCTTGTATATCAGGTGGTGGAACATATTTACGTCTACGGTGTACGCGAATTTGCGCTTCACAACTAAATAAATCACCCGCAGAAATACTATTAACCTCCACAAATGGACTCTCCCCTGCCATATAAGACTGTTGAAGAGCATTAAGGGATGATAAGAAGGAATTTCCCTCTAATGCAATACGCCTAATAAAGTCTGAACGAAATGCATCTTTATCTGTGTTAAACTGCTCAGCTCCAGCGTGTACACCGGCAAAATCAACCTCTGCACGTATTACAAGTGGATCAAAGTGACCCAATTCTTTCGCAATCTTGTGTGTTCCCAATGCTGCACAGCAGGAAAAAACAAAAGTACCAGGTTTAAGCAATCTTGTCATGGAAGGGTTTGAAACACCGTTAACAGTACTACCGTTATCATAATTATTAGAACCGTTATCATAATCATCATCATCTGTAGTACGCCACTTATTTACTACATCACGTAATGTTTTTTTCTTCTGTTGACGTCGTCGTGGTCGTCGTCTTTGAGTTTCCTGCGAATGAGAAATAGAAGACTCTGTCTGATGTGTTTTACTACTACTCGTTCGTGAACTTGGTGGAGGACCTTGTTTAACACTTCGTCGTGGACAGTATATACTTGCAAAATCATAGAATTGAGTCTGTTGACATGCTATAATCAACACATGACACTCTAAAAGTGCGTTACGTCCTTCACGTCGACCTGTACACTGCACCCCACGTCCTGCAAATTGAGCCACAGATTCTGTTTGTCGTGTTATAATAGTAATACGTGATGGATGTATAATATGAGGAGCTAGTAGTAATTGTTCCACAATAGCACGCCCTACACGTCCACCACCTACAACTACTACACGAAAATCCCATGGTGATAACATCAGAGGTGTACCTGAAGATGACGTTTGGGCTAAAGTTGGGGCTAAAACTGCTATTGGAGGTGTTGTAGTAGATTCTGATGCTGATGTTAATGCAGGCGTATGCGAAGTTGAGGGTGGTGGTGTATGTGATACAGATGAGACTGTTTGCGGTCGTGCTAGTGCTGTAACAGCCCCACTATTATTACGAGATACACCCGTTAACAAATCCCGCAGCTCCACATTACACTCTGCTCGTCTGGAGGGAATAGGCGGCGGTGGTGGAGGTGCATGGACGGCAGTATAACGTTCTCGTGCCTGCGCTACATGTCGCATGATGTACCACAACGACGAGTCTCCATCCTGCAGTAATGCGTGGGCGGCGGAGGCGGCGTGACAGGCGAAGAGTGACTGTTGGGCAATAACGTTAACTACAAGCGGTGCGGTAGCTACAGCCGTGTTAAGACCAGGATCGACGCATGTAAGGCCAATAACACCGTCAAGTAAATGTCGCGTAGCCTCCTGCATGTTCACACACACACAGAGAGAGAAACAGAGAGACGGAAAGAACTAGAAGGAGAAGGGGGAAAAAAGAAATAATCCTTTATTTCTTTTTACTTTTTTGTTTTTCTTCTTTTCTTGATGATAATGATGATGACCCTACCCGTTAATAAAGAAAAAAAAAAGAAAAAAAAGAGTAAGAAAAAGAGATATTTACGTATACATGTATTTTACAAGTATGCAATACTTTCCCCACCGTGATGTGAAGAAGACACACCCACGGCAAAGCACAGGAAAACCTAATAGAAACAGAAAAAAAAAAAACAATAAGTGGATTTTTAAAAAAAAAAAAAAAACAAGAAATAAATACTTCTCAAACAAAATATAAAGGAAGAAAAATTGAAATAAGATGCATTGAAAGAATGTGTATGTATGTGTAGGGGGCCTTCTTTCTTGATGTTCTAGTTCCTACCCTGCCTTTTGATCTTTCATCAACCCACTTCCTCTTCAATTTTGCAGCAGCGGTCGTCCTAGGGCTTACTTGACTGTAAACGTCAGGTGGCACTTACCGCAGTACTTGCGTCCCTTGTGCTGGGCCATAAACACGGCAGCACCGCAGTTTGGTCCTGGGCACTCCTGGCGAGTGTGCTCCACCTTATAGGAACCGTCGTCGTTCTCCGTGACGTTGAAGTACTTGAGGGCGCGCATCTTCTCCAGCTTGTGGCGGTGAATAGGCTTCTTTGGCTTTGTGAAGATCTTCTTCTTCTTCTTCTTTCCCTTACCACCCTCAACAGGGAGGGCGGCGTGAATGGTGCTCTCGCGCTGGAGTCCGTACTCGGCGAGGGTGGCGGCGTCGTCGAGGCTCTGGCCGCCGAAGAAGAGGAGCTCGTCGCTGCGGAGACCCGCGCGGGAGCGGAGAGCCGCAACGGTCTCCTGCAGGGACGCCTGCACCGCAAGAGTCTGGCCGGACGCCGATTTGACGAAAAGCTGCATGCTTCCTTCCTTTGAATAAAGAAAAAGAACGAAAAAAAGAAAATAGAATAATAATAATAAGAGTGAGAGATATGTGTATGTGTGTGTGTGTGTATGGACGTGTGTCTATGTCTGTGTCTACGATAGAATGCTGTAGCATGAAGCCGTCGGCAACATATATTATATCAATTTCTACAATTTCCATTCACATAACCACTTAATGTCAATGTGATCAATTGCAAAAAAAAAAGCAGCGCCAAACGATTTCTCCCAATTACGTCACTAGTCATAACCCCTTCCGCCCAGAAAAATTTGCCGTCTAGCAGATTTGGACAACTGTAGTATTAATAGTATTAGTAGCAATAATCGATAAAGAAGTAAATAAACAAAATAATAATAATAATAATAATAATAATAATAATAATAATAATAATAATAATAATAATAATAATAATAATGGTATTCAAATATACAAACAATGTCAAATATTGTTGTTGTTGTTGTTTTTTCTTTTGTTTCTTCGTTTATATTACTGTTACACTCCGTGTTCTTCAGGACTTGTAGTGCGAAGAGCATCGCTGTTGCTGTTGCTGTTGCAGCCACTCCTCCACTACACGGCTTTGTGCCACCGCATTATCAAACAGAATTACATTCCTCTTATCCTCTGATGGTGGAGGCACCGCATCCAGTAAATTAAGCTGAAAATCCAACGTCATGGGCATTGAATCATCTGCAGGTGAAACAGTTAACAATACAACAGTATTATCTGGATGAATAACACGAGTCACAGTAATCTCCGTATCACTACTACTATGTTTCATACTTTTATCATTATCATTCTTTTTGTTTGTTGTATATTTGTTAGATATGGGTGCTAAGATAACCGCATTGCTGAGGGTGGGATGCCCATTCCAACGCAACTCAACTACCACAGAGTTGGAAGTACGGTTAGCAACACAAATACAAACCGAAAGATATATTTCACGTGATATATACCAAACTCCAGATCCAGGTGAGACCTCCTGCCACAAATCCATATTTAACTACCTTTTTTTTTTCTTTTCTTTTAATGCTCTCTTCCAATCGGTTTTAATTTCACTCGCTTTCAAAACTACACTTTTTGTAATATAGTTCTTGTCCTGGAGAGCCCCACTGTTAACCCCCCAGCCCTTGCAAATCTATAACAAGGTCAATTACCCAAGAACAACAAACAGCAGGGGTAGGATAACAGTAAATAACGTCTTCCTCGTCCACCTAACTGAGGGATAAAAAGAAAAAAGATAAAAAAAAGAGGAAGAAGAAAAAAACAGACGCACTACAGAAAAATACTCTTTTAACATTCAGTAGGATTTACAATATCGATAAAAATAAAAATAAAAGAAGAAAAAGAAAAAAAATACCGTAGCAGAGACACGAAGGAAGTACATCACCATGTGCAAAAAAAAAAAAGAAAAATAGTATCAATAAGAGGAAACGAGGACGAAGAACAAAAACAAAAGAAATGGAGAAAAAAAAAAAGAAAAACATACTGCGTAATTTATCAAATAATACCCAGAAGTATCTTGCTTCTCTCATCCCTTTAATTCTTTTTCGTTTCATTTCTTTTTTTTTTTTTTTTTCCTCCTTCTTTCTCTCTTTCCTTCTTCTTCCATTATCTCCCTCTCTCACTCTATCGGTGTCTCTCCACATTTTCACAAGGAGCTAAACCATTTGCCCATCCACAAATACCTTTGGCTTTCTTTCGCTCTATCTCAAATTATTCCATTTTTTTTCTTTTTTTTTCGCTCATACAATAGGTGCGCCGGGTGGAGGACATGATGGTGCGGAAACCACAGTCGCCGCTACCGGTGGATGTGCTGGAAACGATGGCACTGATGAGTGCTGTGCGACAGAGCTGTCAGGTGTCTCAGGTGGTGGAGGTTGACTGCGGGTTGAAGCAGCAGCATCAGTTAACTGCATCGATGGAGGGTGAGGTGCTGGTGAAGGCTCCACTGTATGATCTCCATTACCACTTACTCTAGCTGCCTCAGAAGATACCCCAGGAAGACTTACTGACATTGTTCCACCTTCTATCGTTGTAGTTGTAATTGTAGCTGTACCTGTAACAGTCGCTGTCGCCGCAACTGCTGCTGCTTCCTCCGCAGCAACCAGTGCTGTAATGCATTCAGATGCTGCTTCTTTAATCACTGCTTTTCGTGCCTCAAGTTCACCAAAAGATTCTTGCAACTCCAAACGTAACGCCTTTGTGGTAAGATTCACCCGTTCCTCACGAGGTGTAAGAAGGATTCGTTTATATACAGCAACCCGAAGTGCATCATCACTTGGTGGATTAGCAGATGGAGATCTTTCCGCCACTGGCAGCTCCTTCTTGGTGCGCTTTGCTTTCACACCTTCATCTGCAGGGGATGATGATGATGCTGTTGTTTTGGTTGTTTTTGTTTTTGGTGATGGTGATTTTTTTGAAGCTGTTGATGTTACTGGTGAGGTTTTTGCTGTTGCTCCCACCGATTCATCCTCCTTTGCAGAGGCATTCACGGCAGAGCCCCTTGGTAATGATGTTCGCCCACGCTTTGTGGGTTTACTCGCCGTCCGCGAACTCTTCGTGTTTACGCGCTTTGCCCCTTCCACACTTGGGTGCATGAGGAACGCCACAACATCCTCCGCTACCTTGGCGCGTGGGTTGGAGATGTGCACTGCCATCCCGAGTGCGTCAATGATGGCGCGGAGTTTGTCCTTTGTGAGTCGCCCGACCCGCTCCACCACGTCGTCACGCATGTCTGGCGGGAATCCGCGAAAGACTTCGAGGGCGCGGCGGCGTTCGCCCGTCCTGCCGGCGCGTCCAAAGACGAGGCGGTGGAGGGGCTCGAGTTGGGCCTCGAGGCGTCGGGCGGGGGCCCCGCGGGGTCCGACGGCGGCGATGGCCGGGAGGTCTGCGAGGGGGTTGCCGGTCCCCGCGGCGAGGTCGAAGCGCGCCGCCCCCTCGCCGTCCCCCTCCGCCTCCTCCCGCCCACGGTGGTCCGCCATGGCTGTCTGCTCTGTTGCTCCTGCTGGTGTGGTGGTCACTATTGGTGTGGGGAGTGGGTGAGTAGATAAAGAGAGAGAAAGAAAGAAAGAAAGAAATAGAAATAGAAAGAAAGAAATAGAAGGAGAGAGAAGGGGAAAGCACTATTTTATGATAAGATAATCTCTCCTTACCAAACAGTATTACATGTATATATATATATATATATATATATATATATATATATATATATATNTATATATATATATATATATATATATATATATATATATATATATATAGTGCAGATTGAATTTATGAGGTCATTACAGGGAGCAAACGACGAATTGTACAATAAGAGGAACTCTCTTGACAGATAGTAGGTCCAAAGGCAGTGTCACTCGCCAATACATCCAGTATCTCTGTTACTCGTTCTGCTAATGTCGTAGCACTGCCATCAACAGGTGGTGATGGTGGTACTCGTAGTCCAGTATCATTATCATCATCATCATCATAAAAATTATGGGTTCGAAGACTTTTTTGGTAACTAGCATTACTCTTGTCTACCATGTGTTGTTGTTCTTTAGTGTCCAAGAGCCGTTCTGCTAGAGGAAGCAGCAGACGCTCTAGAAGAAGTGATATGACTTCACTTTTTGGTAAAACAAGTACCAGACTATTACAAATATCACAAGTGGCAGTTAATCGTCCTGTGAGCACTCGAGGGGTAACTTGTTGCCGTTGACCTCCATCTATGTGTGGAAAAAGATATAATGAAAAAATGTAGTGAAGTTCTGTTGAGCATCCAGTAATAATATCCTGTAAAACATCAGCTGTACACTGCATTAAAACTTCCCTAATCTCTACAGCATTTGTTATTGGTAAATATTTACACTGCTGGAGCAACCATGCAAAGTTATTTGCTGCAACGCAGAGTACCTCAGCGGCGGCACCATGTTGATTCATCTCGTGTGCCTCCCATAATAAAGAACGGTTTTTCTCCATCATGGTAATAACACAATCTGTTAGTATCCCTCCTAGTGGATGTTGTTGTTGTTGTTGAGTGCTCATTTTAGGTAACACTAAAGAAGCATCATCTGACTTTCCTTCTTCTGTTTTCAGCTCATTAGATTTATTAGCCAATAACTGAAGAAAAGAAAATATACTACCCCATAAAACTGTAAAACTCGACACCATCGCTGGTGGTTTCTCTTCAAATTCCTCCTTATCATCACATACATCTTTCCATGGGATCCGCTGTAAAAGCAATGGGGATGCCCGTTGCCCTATTTGACGATCATAATTATTATTTTCCGTACCTTTATTCATGTTACTTGTGATGTTTGAACTCAATAGAGAAGTACTGCCTCTTCTACTATTACCACTATGAGCATTAACATTCACAACACCAGCGGCAGAGTCCCGCACAAGTTGCCCAACCAACTGCCCCACTCGAGACCACACAACTTGTGAGGCACTCGACATTGGCGGAGATAAGAATAACGCCTCTTCCATCACCACATCACTCGCCTTGCTGGCAACTTGGGCTATTAACTCTCTGATGTTATCAGCGGCTGTAATGTGTGCGCAGCGAGTAAAGTGTGCAGCGACGCGCTGAAAAACATCATCGAGTCGATCCGCTGTGTGTGTGTCTTGTGCGGTGTGTACTAATCGTTGTAGGAACGGGCCGCAGCCGGTGAGTGTATCTACAGAGAGTTCCGCCTCCGGTGATTGGCCTTCAAGATAAGCTACAATGCGGTCAATGTGAATCTTGTTACTACTGTATAGAGGTTTGGCTTCTTGCGTAAGAACCCCAGTGCTCATTCCGGTAGTAATGATCTTTTTTTTTTTTTTTTTTTTTTCTTCTTCTTCCTTTATTGTGATTGGAATTGAATCATTGTTGATAGTCTCCTTTTTCCCTGACTGTCCTTTGGACAATGATGAGAGTAACTGATACAAACAGTAGCAATAATAATAATAATAATAATAATAATAATAATAATAATANAAGATAAGCTACAATGCGGTCAATGTGAATCTTGTTACTACTGTATAGAGGTTTGGCTTCTTGCGTAAGAACCCCAGTGCTCATTCCGGTAGTAAAATGATCTTTTTTTTTTTTTTTTTCTTCTTCTTCTTCCTTTGGCCAAGATGTTAAACTGGTATTCTTGATGTTGTGGTGTTTGCCTGACTGAACTTTGGACAATGATGGGAGTAACTGATACAAACAGTAGCAATAATAATAATAATAATAATAATAATAATAATAATAATAATAATAATAATAATAATAATAATATTGTTCGTTGCCCTCTTCGTTGTTATTTGTTGGATCTGCGAAACAAGCAGTGGAGAGAACCCTTTAAACGTCAAGAAAGAAAAATGAGAAAAAAAAAATAAATAGATTAGTAACCCATTGTGTGTACAGCAGAGGAATAAAACAGACCCTAAATACAACTACAGCAATAATATTATAAGATATCGTGTAATTGGCTCTAAATACCGCGTATTGAAGAAGTGGCATATTTCCCATACCCCATAAAAAATAAAATAAAAAGAGAGTCAATGAAAGAAGAGAGGACGAAAGCGCAAAATATTTAAAACTTTCGAATGTGGACCACTAACTGAAAAGGATTATTATTATTATTACCATCATTATTATAGTAGTCCATAAACCGATTTGTGTTGTTGTTTTTGTTCGTTTTTTTTTGTTGTTGTTGTTTTTTTTTTTTTTGGAGGTGGGGGGAAGACAAAGAAAAGATAGAGAGAGAGAGAGAAAGAATCCATACTGGTATATATATATGTATATATGTATACATACATATACACAGGATTTAAAGAAAAAAAAAGAAAGAAAACAATGGAGATATGCACATGAATACACCAACACACTTTACCTATGCGTCTGTATAAGTCCCACAGAGATAGAGAGAAGTACCGGAAAAAAATAATAATAATAATTTCATATTAACGCATAGACATTCCCTTCTCACTCCCCTTCCTTCTGTGAATTGAGTGATTTGGGCGTCTCCTTTTCTTTTTCTTTTTTCTTTTTTTTCTTTCTCGATGTATAGATTCCCTTACTTTATTGTTGATTTCCCTCTTGTTCTTCTTCTTATTTATATGATTATGGTTATTATTTATAATAATTATTTCTGTTGTTACTGTACTCGTCCCCCTTCGGGGATACACCACTTGGGCGAACACCGTTGGAATAAAAAAGACGTCCGGGAAACAACACAGAGATAATCATAATAATAATAATAAATAATAATAATAATAATAATAATAATAATAATAATAATAATAATAAAAGGATAAATAAAAACATTCATAGTAAAGATAATATATATGCACATTAATAATATTCATAGGACGTGTACATTCAAAAGAACCAAAAAACGATTGACAAGAAAGAAAAAAACGATAGGAATAGCGTAATCCGAGATTACGGTCTCATCATCGGGAAGAAGAGAGAAAATAAAAAAAATAAAATAAAATAAAGAAACGATGTGGTACATATACCCAGTGATCTTCATACAATGAGAGAACACACACATATAGATAGATAGATAGAACTTTTATGTGTGTGTCTCCTTGCCTATTATTATTATTATTATTATTATTATTATTATTATTATTATTATTATTATTATTATTATTATTATTGTTCCCACTACATACACTAAAAGTCATACGTATATGAAAGAACGAAAGAAAGAAAAGAAAAAAAAAAAAAAACACAACCACAACAGTTTGTGGTTCTCATCTCTCTTTCATTTTCTTTCTTTCTTTCTCTTGTCTGTCTGTCTGTCTGTCTTTGTGGGATCATCACATGTAAAGAAGAAGAGGGGCCGAGGCGGGACCAAAACATCTAAACAACAAAACAGACAAACTCATGGCTTGAGAACAAAGAAGAACACAAACAAAAAAAAGAGTTGGAGTACAACAACGAAAACAAAAACAAAAATAAAAGGTAAAAAGGAAAAAAAAAAAGAAATAATGTGAAGGAAGAGATAAAATAAAAGAATCCAATCAATAATAATGAGCGTTAAAAGCAAAAATAAATACAAAATAAAAACAGAAAAACGAGGCAAGAAAGACAAAAAGACAAAAAGACAAAAAAAAAGAAAAAAAAATAAGAGCTATTATTAACCACTTAAAACTGTAGTATTCGTAGTAGTAGTAGTAGTAGTAAATACACCCTACAAACTTGTACTCAACCTTCTATTTCGTTAACGCGTGTATATAAAAAATAAGGCCCCCTTGCTTCCCTGTCTAGGTTTTTTTCTTCTACCTGTTTGCCTCTTCGAATTAGACTCGCGTTACTACACACATATCGGTTCGGAGAGAAAAAACGAAATAAGAAATTCATTCCTTTCCCACCATTATTCCTTTCTCTCTCTCTCTCTCTCTCTCGCTCCCTCTCATAGGCATACACACACACATATATTATTACTTTCCCCCGCCTCATTTATCTCTGCTTGTGTATTTCACTCAAATTAGCAAAAGCAAAGGAATCGGTGGGAATAGGTGTGCTTGGAGTGCCTATTAGCATGCTGCTGGGACCGGCGCTGCTGGGACCAAAAGAACTGTGTGAACTCGAGAAAGAGGTGTTGGTGTAATTCAACAAAGTGTTAGACACAACAGTCGACTGACCTGGCTGAAGAAAACATGGCAAGACAATATTTCCGCACAAAATCAATTGTGGCTGTTGTGGTATTAAGGGAGATGGCGTTGATTGCAGTGGCACCCAATCACGGAGCCCTGCCCCATCTGCACTTGGCACAGCAGTCTCAGTGCTGCTTCTCCCACCATATGCATTATGTGTGGGATTATACAAGAGAATGCCGGGAGCTGTTTGTGTGCCCGCAGCGGCCGCCGTCCATTGCTGTGGACTCTGCGGTGTTCCTCCGCCCCCCACCACGCACGGCTGCGGCGATAAGGGCGGGGCTGCGGGTGCATAATAGCCGGCAGGAGGAACACTTCCCATCACGTAGGCGGCAGCAGCGGCGTGAACAATCGGACGAGCACCATTATTGTCCATGTGAGTGTTGACGTTATCGATATAGGCACCATTATTATTATTATTATTATTATTATTATTATTATTATTATTATTATTATCATTATTATTATTATTATTATTATTATTATTATTATTATTCATATGCATTGCGGTATGGATGTGGCTCGGAGGACTGTTGATTCCCACTGGAGATGCACCAGACGTTAACGGAGAGGGCAGGTTTGGTTCTGACAACATGTTAAGCGGCCTCACCGGCATCTCATGATGGGAATGTCTCTCATGTTGACACTTCTCTCCTCGCGCTATAGACACACGCAGAGTCTTGTTGTAAATCTTATACCCATTCATGTGATGTATCGCCCTCTGTGCGGCCTCTTTTGTTGTGTAAACCACGAATCCATAACCCTTCGGATGTTTCGTTTCCTGATTATGAATCACACGAGCGGAGACCAATGAGCCGAATGGTTTAAATAATTCCGTGAGGTGCTCATCCGTGACGTCCGTTGGAATGTAATTCACAATAAGATTACACGGATCAGGTCCAGGTCCCATCTGTTAGACCCGAATAATAATAATAATAATAATAATAATAATAATAACACTGTTTTAGAACTTGGATTGTCTTGACTAACTATAGTATAGTGTAGATATTCAGAAGAGAATAGAAGAGTTCATTTTTAATGGAAGATAATCGCAATTTCAAATATTTTTTTTTTTTTTACTTTCCCTATGGCTATCTCTCTCTTTCTCTCTCTCGTTTCTCCTGTAATTAGGATACCCACAATATTACTCATTAGAGTCGCCAATGGACAATTGCCAGATGTTTTTTTTCGCCCTCTTGTCTATTTTGTGGTACTTTCTTTTTTTTTTTTTTTTTTTTTTTGTTTGATTTCCTCTTTATATTATCTTTACCGCATCGAACTTCACTAGACTAACGAATCCGGTCATTCTGCAACTATATATAAAGAAACCAGGTATATAGCGTTTAATTAATTTCTTGGTGTGAACTTCATACCCTGCGATCCGGCCCCAGAACAATTCCCTACACATACAGAGAAAGAAAGAATGAAAAGAAAAAAGAAATGGTAATTGTTTTCAGCAGGAGACATACACAGTTCATTACATAAACAGGAACAAATAAGAAAAGAAGGAAAGAAAAAGAAGAAAAAAACAGGGGAAGAAAGGGAGACAGACAGAGAAACGTGAAATAAACAAATACAAACAATATATATATATATATAAGCAGAAAAGAAAGAAAGAAAGAGTGTATGATGTTGTACATGTCTTTTTTTTCTGTTTTCAGCACTAGTTACATATCAGCAAAAAAAAAACATCCTGCAATCTAGACCTTTTGGCTTCAGTGAAGTGAGAGAAAAAAAAAGAAAAGAGAAGAGGATCTGTTGTATCTTCTTCTTTTTTTCTCTTCTCCGTCGTTTAAGCTCACAACACCACAATAAACTCGCTTCACGCCATGTTTTCTGATCTTTTCCCGTGCAGAGAAAGATAATTCAATTCATTCCATAATCTTTCTTACAAAGAGCAGATATATAAACATATATGTATATACACTTGACACACATACACACACTATCAACAACCCTGTCCAATCTCTCGCCTTTCTCTATCCGCCATACCTCTTTACAGTTTTTTTTTTGTTTGTTTGTTTGTTTGTTTTTCTTTTTTTCATGCTCTGAGGTGGAGCCTGTTGGTTTTTTTTTTTTTGTTGTTGTTTCATTCTTCTGTCTCCACCTCTTGTTTCATTTCTACGGCAATTTAAAGGCCGTTCTATACATCTCATGTACTTTTTTTTTTTTTTCTTCCATGTACACATAAACAGACAAAGGATACTCTGTTCAGGAGGGGGGAAACAAAAAAAAAAAACACGAACAGCCGAAACTATTACTACAACTACAACTACAACAACAAGAACAATGATCAGACTGCATCCCTATTCTACTATACCTCATTTATATATATATATATATATACTACAACTACAACTACAACAACAAGAACAATGATCAGACTGCATCCCTATTCTACTATACCTCATTTATATATATATATATATATATATATATATATATATATATATATATATATATGGGTATAGTGAAATGGAGCAGACTACATCTTAACTATCACCTAGTGGAGGTGAGGCGATACTCTTTGGGGCGCCGCCCGATGGTCCTTGTTGAATGCGTGCTGTATTGCTGTTGTTACTGCTGCTCCCATCGGGGTGGAGATTCTGCGGTAGACGATTTACAAATGGCTGCAGTCGATTTGCCATCACACGTGGCCGAAGTGATTCTACGGCTCTATTGCAGCCGAGACAACGAAATCCTTTAAATCCCATGAGTGCATCAGGTGCCCCACTTCCCGTGTGTTCTTCCGTTACAAGTCGTTGTAGTTGTGCCATATCGTTCTTTGTGGCTTTTCCATCCAACATATCCCGCAGCACGTTGAGGGATTTATCCAGTGTATCAATAAGACCAGCATTGGTGGCGTTTAGTACTTGTTCCACCTCACGCATAAGTCGTTCCAGTGCATTCTCCACATAATCACGTTCCGCTTTATTTGCCACAAGTGTAGCGTCTGCTTTGCGATGATCAATTTGTTCGATATAATCACGCAATGCACTTAATTCATTTGTGGTACCATCCCGCATACTGCTGAAATCGTTTGCATGATCAGCAATTTGTTGTTGTAATTTTTGAAGTGTTTCCTCCTGTGCGGCGGCTGCCAAACCAGCTGTTTCTCCATCCCCACTCTTACCAGCACCAAGTTCTAATAAGTGACGAAGGTGTCGTAAGTCATCTACAAGACGTTCCAAAGCTGTACGATCTGCTTTGGTATCATCCAGATCGTTAATATTCGCTTCTGCCTTACACATACGTTGTTGTAAAGCATCCAATATTTGTTGTAAATCGTTTATGGTTTCTCCATAGTTTGGTGTCTCGGTAGTAGTTGCTTGTAGTGATCCTTCCTCCTTTTCCTTCATCTCTGAAGTAGATACTGATGGTTGATGTAGACTACTCTTGTCTGCCTTCTTCTCATCCAACATATCACACATCTTTTGTAGTGCATTAGTGTCTCGCTGTAGTTTTTCTAATGCCTGTCGAAGAGCATCCAAATCCTTATCGTAATTACGTAAACCAGCTTGTTGAAGATCAGCCAATTGACGTTCAAGCGCCTCCACAGTGGCACGTAAAAGTGCAAATTGTGCTGGATTAATACCAGTATCACCACTTGTTGTAGCAGATGGACTGAGAACACTTCCAAGTTTGGCGTTCATGCGTTCTTGTGCCTGATTTAAGGCCTCCAGTTGATCCTTTAGTTTTTGAATATCATCTTCCATAGCCTTTCTACGCTCCGCATCCTCTTCTGCACTCCTCGTATCCGGTTTAAATGTTGGACTTCCTGGTGAGGCAGTACGGCGCTGCAGACGTTCCACATCATCCTCCAGTTTTCCCACTCGTCGGAGTAAATCGTCCGTATCAATTCCAGATTTCGATTCTTCTTGTGATGAGGGTTTCTTATCCGCAGCACCTCCTTCAGCTGTAATGGTGCGCATATGGTCTACATCTTCGTGTAAACCTCGCATCTCATTCAACATCTCCGCCACAACACGATTGAGATATGCAATATCCGCCCCATCCTGCTGAAGTCGATCACAGATGGATGCGGTAGGACCCAAATGTGCTCCCGGATCTCTGGAGTGCATCATGGATCCACCACTACTGATGCGAAACATAGGTGTGCTGGAGGAGGCTCGACCAGAACCCCTTCCAAACGTGGGTGATGGAGATAAAAATGGTGCTGAGGGATATTCACCACTGCGAGATGCTGCACGAGGTCCAGAACCAGTTCTGCCTTCTTGTTGTTGTTGTTGTTGTTGTTGTTGTTCTGCTGTATGAGTTTCTTGAACTCCTGTTGGTGCACGTTGTGTTTCCGGTTCCTCTACACTCACTCGTAACTGTTCCGTTGCTCGTGCGGGTTGTCTTGGTTGTTGTGTTTCTGCATACTGCAATGGTTGTGTTGATGCTTGTGATGACTGCGATTGTTGTTGTGGTGGTGTCAGTCGTCGTTTTTCTTCCCTTCGACCCGGTGGCTGCATTTCTTCTCCCGTCACTGCAGAGATTCCCTGCGCCTCTTCCTCTGCGAATAATCCCGGTTGTTGTTGTTGTTGTCCTTCTTGTTCGGGGGTGTAGGTATCTCCAAGGTGAAGTTCCTCACGGGCGCGATTGAGAATCGTATCTCCCACCTTCTCATCTCCCTCATCCACGGATTCTCCTGTGGTGGAAGTCCCCGTTACGCGTCGTTGTCGTCGCATTTCTCCAGAACTAGCAACAAGACTATCTTTTCGTTTTCGTGCCTCATACAACTCATCAATTGTCCGGCGTCGTGCATATTGTTGAAATTCACCCATGAGTTTCTTAAGCCGTTCCACTTCATCCCATAAAGCTTGAAGATCAACAGGTTGATCAGCACCTTGACTTTTCTCTGATGTATCCTTTTCTTCCTCATCTTTCAATCCTGAAGTGGATCGTTGTTGTTGTTGTTGTTGTTGTTGTTGTTGCTGTTGTTGTAGTTTCTTCAATTCTGCTTCTCTCTCCGCATCCCGCTTTTGCAAGTCCTCCAGTTGTCTTTTCAAATCTGCAATCTCATCATCTTGTCGCTCATTATCCACCTCTGACTGTTTGGCACGTTTAATGATGTTTTTAAGAAGTAACTCCAAGGGCTGGAAAGTCATGGAATAACTGATAAGACTTGAGAGGTCCGTCTCAGTCAGCTCATCCACCACATCATACGGCATTTTTTTTTTCTTTGGTTTTCTTCTTCTGATTTCACACTATCTCTTGTTCTTTTTTTCTTTTTCTTTATTTCTTTCTTTAGAAGGAGAACACCTCACTTTTTTTTTTTTTGAGGTTTATTATCTAATTCACCTTCTTTGTGTTGCTGTTGTTTCTTTTTTTAATATACCTTTGGGGTTTCCTTTTTCTTCAAAGAACTCACCTCTCGGTATACGATTTCTCTCCTTTTCTAGGATGGCTTTGCTAGCAACTGTATTGATGATTTGTTCTGGAATTTGGTATTCCTTTCACTCTCTACAAATACAAATATATATACTAATATATATATATATTTATATGTATATTATTACCTTTTTCGCGTAATGCGCGTACTCGCCTGCTCTTTCTGCTGCTGTTGCTGATACTGCTGCTGCAGACAATAAGCTGATTAAAAACAAAAATAATAATAATAAAGAAAGAGAAAGGAAAGAAAGAAACAATATAAAAATAAAAACAAAAAGAGAAATTGTGTTTCAGTAATAATAACATATGTATAGAAGAGTTGAAAGAAATAGATAATATAAAACTAAAAAAAAGAAGAAAAGAGGATAAGACAACTAAATGTCCATCTTCATACGTGTAGTAGTACTAACTATCATATATATATATATATATATGTATTCTTTTTTTTTTTTCTTCTTCTTCTTCTTCTTCTTCTTCTTTTGTAGAGACACATGGACTGATTTTGATTCACTCCATCCCACATATCTCTCACACACTGTCATCTCTAACAAATCCTGCGGCAACCATCCCATTTCACTTCTTTTCCCCCTGCTCTGTTCATCTACACATCCCATGGAATGCGAACCGGCAGTAGTCGTCGTACATCTTCCTTCTCTGCCAGCAACTTCTCCTCTACAAACCGCCGCAGTGCCGGCATCACCTGTGCATTCTCAATCTTCAATTCCTCACATGTCTCTAACCAGAGAAAGTTCGCCGCATTTGGTTTCCCTTTACTCGGCGTATCGTCTATCAGCACGGTGTTGCGTGGAGTGGCGATGTCTGGATAGCGGCGGTACACCTCCCGCAGATCCTTCACCGTCGCGTGTTGATCATCCCGTGAAGTGGCGGTGGTGCGGCGGAACTCATCCGACGATGTGTGTTCGCGCGACCACACGAACGCAAACCGCACGGCGGGCGAATCGCTGCTGTGATGAAATATCGCCTCCATGAGTGGGGCGGTGTTGCGGGCGGTGGTGGAGCTCCACACGGCGAGATGACAGTGCGGCTGCAGCGCCTGCAGGGTCTCCATCACACCGGGCCGCAGCCACACTCGACTCATTCCAACCGTGATGGCATTCTCCGGCATTCCGGGGGGAATGCGACTGGCGTGAATACGCTCTAGTAAGGTGCCGCGTAAACCAAACACGAGTAACGGTTTCATTATAATATATATGTGAAGAGTAAATATTTTTTTTTTTTCTTAAGAGAAAGATGTAGAGGTTTAATATATATATATATATATATATATATATATATATATATATAGTGTGTGTGTGATGATAAGGTGTGTACGGGATACCCCCTTCCACAGACCAAAACAAAGAAGAAAAATAAGATTCATAACATAATAATATTGAAATAATTAAAGTGTACAGGAAGGAACAGTAAAAAAAAAAAAAAAAACTATATGTGATTGTAGAATACATTTGTTTCTTTTTTTTTTTTTTCATTTTTTGTTTCCAGAATAATTATTTCTTTTTATTTTATTTTGTAGTAGTTCAGCTCCTCAGTGCTGATGTTCTTTCCAGTTTTTCTTTTCGTTTTCATGTATGTACCAATATCTATCAAATATTGTTTTTCCCTCTTCTTATATATATATATGTATGCTGCTAGTAATTATACGTCTATTTGTTTTTACCCTCATCACGCTTGAGCCCACAATCACAAGTGAGGGGAATAAAAAAAATTCACCGCTAATAATATAAGAAGTCGTCCTTTCTCTTCAAACAGAGAAAAAAAAGAAAATCATTAAAAGAAGAAGATTAGAAAAAAAAAAAAAAAAAAACGTTAGTGTACGATACCATACTATATATATATATATATATATATATAAGTATATGGATATAAAGAAATGTGTTTTTTTTTTTTTACTTTTCTTTTTTTTTTTTTTCGCCCTCACCTCTTCTTCTCTCTTTTATGATCTCTCCTTTACCTTATCTTTTTTTTGTTTTGTTTTTCTTTGCTTCTGTATTTCTCATCTCCAGAAAAAGATATACTTCTCATATGGGGCAATAAACCCTTCAAACGTTGCCCGACCAATCTGCAGATCTGGCATTCCCATTAGAAAGAGTGCCACTATACAACCACAGCCAAGATAAAAAAAGATATTAGATATGATATAAACAACTCCCCGTCGTTCCATCCGCTGCTGTAGACTAAGTGCCCCAAAGAAGAGAATAAACCAAACAATAAATAAACACAATGCAATCATCCACGGTACCGCAATATAACTTGGCATCGGTTCCTGAAAGTAACCACCCTCAATAGCCATTTTGGTAATAAAAATAGTTTCCAGAAGAAGTGCCAAAACCCCTACCCATGCAGTCATTCCAAACCGTTTTCCTGGATATTCCTTTGTGGAGATGTATTCATAGTATTCACGAACACTAGGAATACCAATAAGACTCCACATGAGAAGACGAGCCGTAACCAAATGATGTTTAGGGGGCATGTGAAGAATATGCTTCATTGTAAAACAATTAATATCTTGAATAAATAATAATGCTAACAAAGCAAAAAACTGCAAAAATCGTTTAGGATTCAAAAAGACATTCCATTCATAGGAAACAAAACTACGTGGACCAAATTGACCAAGTATACGTTTCGCTTTCCCCTTGTAATCCTTAATACTACTTAATGCCGTCCAGTGAAATTCCTTTGCACGTAGTCTTCGTAGTGCCAAGATACCAAGTAAAGTTCCACCAGCATTACAGAGAAGTACATCTAATAAAAGATGATCCCACCAACATTCCTTAAAATTTGGAAGTACATGTTGAAAAGTAATTTCAATAATTTCAAAGCCAATAGATATACAGGTTGCCACTCGCCAATCTCTTACAATAATTGTTTTAACGAAATATCCAAGAGAATGAGCTAGAATAAAGATATCAAAGGCTGTTTGAACAAAGAGAAATGGATTATCTGAGGTATAAAAACGACAGTCTTCTGCATATTGACCCTCTGGTTGTGGTATAAGAAGTGAAGGATCATAAAATCCCATAATTGTACGTACCGTTTTTAAATTTTGGAACATCATAAAAGAGAGAAGAGCAATATAAAGTACAGCAACAACTAAAACTGCCCGCCAAACACATGGATGAGGTCTAATAAGAATAGAATCTGGAAAGTGAATAGCACCAAATACAATTAAAGATAATGCAGCTGCTAAGAAACCAAGTTTTACACTAGATACCACACTCATATCTGGATAGTAATAATATCGTACCATAAATAGAAGGACAGATAATAATATTGTAAGAGCACTGAGAGTGTGAGGAGTGTAAAAGAAATCTGCAAAATCAAACTCTCTAATATAGGGAGATGATTTTAGTCGCATATCCTTATTCTTATTATCGCTTTCATTACGCCGCTGTGTCTGTCCTACGCTGCCATTATTGTTCGCCATGGGACTTCTATCACCAGTACTATTCTCATTACTACTACCACTACTCTTTCCATTATTATTGTTATTGGACCTTTTAACAACGTTAACAAGCTGCTTTTTACTCATGTTTCAGTAATGCAGCCTGGTAATGTGTATTATAGACATATACATTTATATTTATATTTATATTTGTATAAAAGAAGAGAACAACAACAGAAAAAAAAAAATCATGAACATATTAAAATAAATAACACAGATATAATAATAATAATAATAATTCCAAAAACAAGGATGAAACCCCACCTCCATGGTGTCTAATTCCTAGTTTATAAATAAAGCTACTAACTGAGAACTTGTTGATACTTTTGATTTTTTTTTTCTTTTCTCGTACTGTTTTTTTCTTTTTTTTTTTATTTTGAACTCGTCCCTCTTCCTCTTCCCAATAAAAAAAACATCCCTCACTCCATAACCTTTGTTTTCGAATACGTTTTTACAAAATATTCGTATTTTTTTTTTTTCTCTCTCTTCTTTATTGAACTCCTAAATAGTAGTTTTTTTCCTTCTTCCTTCTATTTTTTATTATTGTTATTATTATTATTATTACTAAGTCTATCAAAGACATGCGTTCTGTTTACATATTCCATTGGGGTTTACACAGGTGTGTATATGATTAAACAACATTGTTGCCGTTAATCCCCGCTCTCCATTGTGTGCGGCCACTGCGAGATCCGCTGCGGTGCCGTGCACTAAACAACCCACACACGCCGCTGACCATATGGACATTCGCTGTGCCAGAAGACCAGCAATCACACCTGTTAACACATCTCCCATTCCACCTGAAGCCATTCCACTATTCCCAACATCCGCAATAACACAATGGGGAAGAAGTAATGGATTTGATGTTGTTGATATATTCATGATGTTATTTGTTTTTTCTTCTTCTTTTTCTTCTTCTGCGGTGTAAAGTACTGTACCAGGTCCTTTTAATAATACAACTCCCCCATATCGAGTGGCTATTTCTTTGGCAGCTTGAAAACGATTTCGTTCCACATCTGCAATGCTGCAGTTTAATAACCTTGCAGCTTCACCTGGATGTGGTGTTAAGATACGTGTCTTGAGTCGATCTATATATTTAATACCCTCTTCTTTTTCTTTTTCTTCTTCTTTTTTTGTTTCTTCTGTGTTGTTTCTTCTTTGCTGTTTACGTGATGCCAGAATATTTAAGGCATCTGCATCCCATACAGATGGTTTCTCTTCCACATGTGCTTGACAATATGCTTGCACCTTCTCAATGATGGTTTGACCCCATTCATCTTGTCCAAGTCCTGGTCCTACGGCTAGAGAAGTGGCCCATTCTAATCCTTCTTGCAAACTCGCAGGGTTTAATTCTCGCACCATCACTTCTGGACAACGACAGAGAAGTGGTGTCATGTGTTCTGCTCGTGTTAAGACCCGCACAAGACCAGCACCTGTACGTAATGCTGCCTCTGCTGCCATTATAATAGCCCCACCAAAGCCATAATCTCCGCCAATAAGTAACAATTTACCATTCGCACCTTTATGTGAACAAGGGGATCGAGCATAAGGGATTAATTCCTGCAAATGTGAATGGGTGAGACGACGACAAAATAAATCTTTTTGCCGTTCCTCTGCTAACATCCACTCACCTAATTCAAGGCAATTGTAATGTAACTTCCCTACAAAATCACGTGCACGTGCTGTGAATAAACCCGGTTTTAACGCAATAAATGTAACTGTATGATCTGCACGCACACAGGCACCCTCTACAGCTCCTGTTTCCGCATTTAAACCAGATGGAATATCAATAGCCACACGTGGAACTGAAAGGGAATTAATACGATCAATTAACGCCGCATACTCCGCACGTGGGGCTCCATTAATACCAGTGCCAAGTAAACCATCCACCACCAAATCAATATCATCCGCAATCTTTTCTGTTTGCCATGATTGTGCATCCTTAATCGTAACACCACCTCCACTCATAATACATTCCTTTCCCATCATCGTTTCATCTTCCACTTTTTGTTTTTCCTCTTCTTTTCCTCTTTTTTCCTCTTCTTGTTGTTGTCTTTCCATCATGTATTCTTTTAACGCTGCAAAGGCGGCAGTGGCCTCTGGTGGCATTCCATTCTTTGATTTACTCATTGCTGTCACTACAGTGACCCGCAGTCCGGCGTTGGCGGCGGCGAGGCGGGCGACGACAAATCCATCCCCGCCATTATTCCCCGCCCCGCAGAGCACAAGCCAATGTCGTTTGTTTGGATAATTGTGCCTGCAAGCATCAAACACCGCCGTGCCGGCTCTTTTCATTAACGCGTAAAGTGAAATGTTGTGCGCGGCCGCCGCCGACGCCTCAACTCCCCGCAGCCACGCCGCGCCCCACACGCACGACTGCAGCCGCAACTCACAGGCGCCGCTGGTCAAACAACGCGGTCCTAATTGACGCATCTATAGATAAATATACAGAGACAGATAGATACACCTAAACTGATAGATAGAGTGAGAGAGGGAGAGAGAGAGAAAGAAAGTAATTAATTAATTATTTAATTAAGAAGGAAAGAAAGAAAAAGAGGTATTGATGAGCAGGAAAGGAGTTATTATAAACCTCTGGGAGAAAGAAAAAAGAAAAAAAAGAGAATTAAAAAAAAACAGCACTGGTCAAGAAGGTACTTCAACACCGTATGATTTCTAGTATACGTTGCCAATAAAGAGAAAAAGAAAAAGAAAAGAAAAGAAAGCGAGAAAGATAAAGATATATATTAAGAAACAGTGGAAATAATGGGAAGAGAGGAAAAAAAAATAAAGTGAGGCCGACGCATGGGTTATCCACTCACTTTCTTTTTCTTTCCTCCTTTCCTCCTACATCCCTTTTTATTTTTATCCCTTTGCTATCATCGCCGTAAAGGTATATTATTAGCATCATGAATAATAGATTACAAACATTGGAACGTGCTAACAAGTAACAAAAAGAAAAAAAAAAGAACTAAAAAAAGGAAACATAATAATAATAATAATAATAATAATAATAATAATAATAATAATAATAATAATAATAATTAGAAAACACATAACACTCAAAATCCAAGACCCAATGCCTGTTCAAGGTCAAGATCCTCCTCTCCTTCGTTTGTGTTCGCTGCCGTCTCCGTTCCGCTATTTTTCCCTACGACTTCCGTACGCACACCATTACTCACATGACCAGAAGCAGTTTCCGTAGCGGCCATTTTCCTCACAGAACCATTCTCATCATTATCATTATTATTATCATTATTATTATCATTCTTTAAAGAAGATACATCACGAGGTCGTTTCTCTCCTGCCAAAGTAGTTTCCGTAATCGCCGTTCCTGCATCTGTATTCCCTTCACAAGATGTTGTACTGGATGATTCTGTATGATCTGCAGCTGCAGCCGCTGTTGTTGTTGTTGTTGTTGTTGTTGTTGAGTTGATTACATCTTTATATCCTGCGGCTTCTTTTACAAAGGCGGGTATTTTAGACATATCTTCTACTGTGATCACCGGTAATCGGGTCACACCTTCCTGGTATTGTCGTAATTGTCGGACAATATTATGAAAAGCACGAATACTAGGAGCGAGATCAATCTTTCCAGATGGAGCTTTTGGATCTACAGACATGCCAATGAAATAGTGACAACTAAATACCTTTGGTATATTATTATTATTATTATTATTACTACCACTATTACTACCACCACTCAAACGTTGAGATATCGTTGTATCATAGGAACCACTAACACCACTGTTATTATTACTATTACTATTATTATTATTATTCATAGGCGCCACACGAGTAGTTGATTTTTGTAAAATACGAGTTCGTGCCTCTACTTCTTCAGGAGCTTCATACCGTTTTGGGTTAAGTTGTAAACGTACATGTCGACAATTTTCCAACGACTGTGCACGTGATTCCGCTGTTCCTGCCCAAAGGAAACGAATCTTTGACTCCACCGCATCTACATAACCTTGATAGCGTTCTGCATCTGTACAAGATACCTGTACATGTAGATAATACTTATATTCACCAAAGAATTTCACAGGTTCTAAAAGTTTACTCCAAACACCATATGGACCAAATTTTGCTTTTGTTTCTTCTACAGAACTTCCCATATTAGCACTACAAATTTCATGTCCTCTGGCAAATTCTGCACATAATTGTCTTAAATTAGTTAAGGTAACATTATAACAGGCATTCCCGTAGGGAACAGCTGGAGTGAGAACAGGAAATAATGCCATGGCATCTGATTTAGATTCCCGTGGATCCCAACATCTTCCAAGGTTTGTTTTTACACGCATAGTTTCTGTTAAGTAAATGGCTCGATTCTCCTTTCCAATTTCATGTGGATTTGCAGAAAACCAGGTGTGATAAATACGGAAAAAACGAACCACCATCCCAGCTGCATTTTGATTAGGATGACATTGACAAACAAAGGCTACAAGAATAGCCCATCCAATACCACTAGGAAATCCAAATGTATTACTGTAAATTCCACGAGATTTACCCCAGGCTTTAATAAAACGTAAGGCTTGTCGAAAAGATGCCTTACGGGGAACGAGATCCATAATATTATGAGCCACACGTACAGCATTACAACTCAAAACAGATTGATCATCTAATCCTTGTAAAAGATCATCTGTAATAACCTCTGGTACACGATCTTGTCGAATAGATCCAAATGATAAATCAATATCAATTCCATCTGCTACCATTGCAATAAGTGGTACACGGGCATCATGAATACAGTGAAGTTCTGTAATACGAGGTTCATGTTGTAAACGAGGGGCAAGTGTATTAAAAAAGTGTTCACGTGTAATTCGATTAGGGGCAATAAGAACAATATCAATATCACTACCAGAGGCATGTACATTATAGCGATAGGAACCGGTTGCAAAAATACGTCCCTCCACCTGTGCGGCGGCCTCTGCAGGCATTCGGAATTCTGTGATCATTGTAGATCGAATCCACGCACGGACAATATTGTTAATATGCTCCAATACCGATCGGCGTCTGTTGGCCTCTTCCTCTGGTTCAATACCGGCCGCACACCACTCCACAAGAGGGACGTTGTGTTCTTCTTCCTTTGGTGAGGGGCCATCGGCGGAGATGACTTTCTTCGCTAGAAATGATTTGTCATTGCGCGACATGGCGCTTTTCTAGCAGCAATAATAATAATAATAATAAAAAGGGTAATATATTTTTTTTCTTCTGTTTTTTTTTTATTAATATTTTATTTTTCTTTCTTGATGTGTGTGATTGTGTGTAGTTGTCTGTTTTCTACTTTTTTTTCTGTTTGTTAATAGTTGTTGTGAGTATTGTTGGTTTTTAAGCTATTTTTCTTTTTTTTTTTCCTTCTTCTTTATCCTTATATAAATGTATATATATATATATATATATATATATATATATATATATATATATACCCTTATCCTTGAATTAGATTTGATTTCCTGTCTTTGCTCTTCCTTAAACATAAATAAGAACATTTAATGCAGAAGAAATCATTAAGATAACAATAAGAAAAGAAGAACAAAAAAAAGAAAAAAGAAACGAAATATATATATAAACATAAATATATATATAAATATAAATAAATATATATATATTAATAAACAGACGTAAAGAGTCAAAAGGAAAAAAAAACCTTCGTCTTGACAATTTCGATGATAAGCAAAAGCACGTGTAACAACGTGGGATATTCACTACTGATAAAAACATACGAAAGAAAAAAGAAGAAAAAAAAAGGTACACAAAACAAAGAAAAAAAAAAAAAATGACATGCGCATCAATAATGGACGATAAAATGATTAATTATTGCGGTAAAGTAGTCATTCATATTATCCCCCTTTTTTTTTTCTTTGTTTCGTTTCGTTTTTTTCGTTCTTCTTTTCTTTATCCTTTTTGTTTTGTCTTTTTTTTATTTTGACTTCCACAGAATATATATATATACAAAGTCTTCACTAAAACGTTGTCGTTATATATATGTGTCCAAAAAACACTCGTAATTCTCACTTTAAATAAAATGAACTCATCCGTCTTTTTTTTTTTCTTTCTTTTGTGTACATAGTTTTGATCCAACTGGTGTTTTCTTTTAGCGGTAAATACGGATAATTACAAAAAAACCAACAAAAAGAACAACAAGAACAGCAAATAACTCGAGCGTATACTTCACAAAAACAAAAAAAAAAACATATCATCATTATTTGTCAATCTTTAGTAATGGTACCTCTCTCTCTCTCTCTCTCTCTCTCTATCTTTATTTCTTCTATTTACTTTTGTTCAAGCAAGATATCCAGAGCAGATGGATTTAGTGTGATTCGAAGTAATTCCTGTGCGACCGCAAGATTAGTAGCCGATTCCTTTTCATCAATCTTTGCACGCCCATTAGAAGCAGCAGCGGCAACAACAGATGAGGTGGCAGTTGCCATTGCAAGACGATCCAAGAGAGATTGTAATAAACTTTGAAATAACGGTTCACTATTATTCCATTGACATTGTAAAGATGCCCGACCACGAACCGTAATACCCATTGCATGTATTTCTTGTACGGCTGGTTCTGATACCGCTATCGGTGTGGCCATCGTAGTAGCTGTACTATTAGTATTACTATTACTATTACTATTAGTATTAGTATTAGTAGTAGTTGTTGGAATCTCATCAGTATTATTAGTAGTATTAGTGGGTCCCATTATTCCGCAGACGACTACTGGCTGTGGGCCTAATGCGGGTTCCACTCCCATCATAATATCTGCTGCCTGCACTAATGTCACTTTACGCCGAGCATCATAACAAATCCCAACGGCATGACAATTCGAACAAATAAACCGCCGCAATTCCTCAAAACGGGGTTCACCGGAAATATCAAAAACATGCAACATCACATCTGCCATTAAACTTCCAGTGAGATGAACTGTTTTTTCATATCGGGTGAATCCCATCGTTGGCAGTGGTTCTCGCCAACTGGTATGAGCCGCATGTGGACCTGCAAAGCATCGAACCATGGAACTTTTACCAATTCCTGTGGGTCCAATAATCGCAATTTTTAATGGACTAGATAATAACATACGGGCCCCAACAGAGAAAGATAAAAAACCTTTACATCGTGCCATTTCTTGTTGTCGGGCAAAATCAAGGAATTGTGTAAAATTATATCGTGCATGAAGAGAAATTACACGTTTAGAGGCATCTGTGGGAGTAATATCTTCAAAATCTGTTCGAAATGCACGTACCTTATGTCGATTGAGTAATCGATGACGTAATGAAGGGTTAAAATAATTAGACGCTGTTGGTATTTTTAATTCTTTTTCCTTTTGTTGATATTGTGCTAAATTATATTGATACCATATGACATTATCTCTCGACATAAAATAAAAATCAGAGGATACTAGAGAAACTTCTAAAAGATCATGCATACTAAGATAAGTTAACATATTTACAAGTAAAGACCATTGAAGCATTTTTAATTCACCTCGACATTTTCGTCGTGCTTCTCCCGTGTGATCCCGACGAGAAACAACAAGTTGAAGTTCATAATAACATGCAGAACAAATACGATGTGTAGTTGAGAATGAAGATGATCCAGATGGTTGTAGTTGTTGTTGTTGTTGGGATGGTTGACGTTGATGATATGATGATCCTATCTGTTGTAATGATTGGGATGGAGATGATTGTAATGGTCGTGTAGATGAAAGTATGGAATTTCTCTGTCCATGTACTTTATCACCTATTCGATGAGGCGTTGTGGAGGATGCGGTGGGACTCTCTACTCCATCTAAGAAAGAAGTAACAAGTGAACCTGTCGTTCCTGTATGATTATCCCCACGTAATGTAATGAAATGTGAACAACAAGCAGCACAGAAAATCCGTCCACAGACACGACAATGATGTCTACGATTAAAAAGTGAAAAAGAGACATTACACTCATGTGCCATACATGTCATTACTTGAGCATCCGGCATCCAACACTCTTCTGAGCATAAACGAATATGTGATGTATCTAATGTTGGTTTGGCCAATGATCGTGAGGTGTTTGAGGTTGGGTTATTCATCACAGAACTGGCAGCCATGGATCCTGCTAAGGAATGTACGTGTGGAGTACGGGGAGAAGTACTACCACCGTAAGCAGCCACACCGCTGGTGCTACCACTAGCATTACTATTATTATTGATATGACTACTATTGTTATTATTGTTATTATAAATATTGCTATTGCTGTTATAGGTGCTGTTGTTACTACTGTACGGCACAGAGACATGAAGGGTTGTAAAGGCTGGAGAGGATCCCATCTCCCGTGCACTGGCGAGATCTACATGATCCATTTTCTTTTTTTTTTTTTTTTCTTTCCTTTTCTACTGTTTCCCTTTAATTAAAACACACACACAACACACAAACAGGCAGATCACTAAACTGTGGTTTAGATTACTCTTCGTACCTTTTGTACTTAACGATGTATATAGCTAACAGAAAAGCCTATATAATGAAAAAGAAAAGAAAAAAAAAAAACAGCATAAAAGAAGAGCAATGAATTTTAATATTCTTCCCCCTTACCCCTCCATAATCCCTTAAAATGAAATAGAATATATATATATAGATGCATTTTATAAATGTTGTATTTGTATTCACCTGTAATCATGTATTCATAACAGATATGTAATAATAATAATAATAATAATAATACACTACACTACAATTCTTTCCATATCATCCCACAAAAGCCAATGAACCGAAGACGCTTTACCGTCGTACCAGATCTATCAGAGAATACCACCGCACCAGTTGCAAAGAGATACCAATCATGAAATTCCAAACGTACAGGCATACAAGAAGAAGTAGATACTGTTGATAATGCCGTATTGTTATCATCCGTGTTTATTCCCTTATTTGCCTCATACGCCTTAGACTCCTGCATTAGTTGTAATAGTTCTTCACTAAGTACATGCATTGGTGGATGTTCTTGTTGAGATGCCAAATCCGTTGCTCGTTGTGCCGCATCAATTGGACGAAACATCTCCGTTCCCTCCTCTGCCGAATATAAACGCTCCCGCGCAAACAACAAACGTTTACGTGCCAAACGTGCCTCATCCGTTTCCTCTTCATTTTTATTACTATTACTATTATTATGATTATTACTCTTATTTCCACGCCACCATGAGCTCAAATACCCTCCTTCTTCCCTTTTCTGTTTCCCCTTCTCTTCCTTTGAGTTTCCCTCCACTGTTGTTGGGGTGGGCGTTGGTGGAAAAAGTCGGTTGAAGGCGGCCTCGTGGTGGCGCCGCTCGGCGAGGTACCGCACAAAGTGCCCCTCATGCGGGCGGAGCACAAACAGGCCGTACGCCAAAAAACCGGGAATAATCAGCCGGCGGAGTTGACGGTAGAAAAGTTCCTGCCGACGAATCCGCAGCGCCCGCTCAGAGATACTGCGGGACTCCGCACGATTATTACTGTTGTTATTATTATTATTATTATGATTATGATTATTGTTGTGATGGAAGGCCGTGGCCGCAGCACAGATGCAGAATGTGCGGTGCAGCATGATCTCCGGCTCCGTACTCCGGTATATAGGAAGATAAAAGATAATGGAGAGAAAAAGAAAAAAAGAAAGAGATGATAGATAACATGAGAGAAGCATAAGAAAAAGAAAAAGAAAAGAAGAAAGAGATGATAGATAACATGAGAGAAGCATAAGAAAAAGAAAAAGAAAAGAAGAAAGTCACGCTTTGTTTTTGTTTTTTTTTTTTAATTCTTTCTTTTTTTTTTAATCCAGAAGCTCAAACTCATCATCATCATCATCCAAGTTCTGTGCGGCCTTAGACTTCTTACCGTTGTTGTTATTCCTTCCCCCAGCAGTTGAAGAAGATAATGAAGATGGAGGTTTTGTCAAGCATCTCTTCACACCCACACAAGCCCTCTTCCCCACATGTTTCCCTTGAGTCATTTCAAACAACGCAAAAGAAACGGTATCTCCCGGCTTCACACCATTCTCCGCATTACTCATGTGAAAGAAAATAGACTCCCCAGTTTCATCCAACACAACAAAACCAAAACGTCCTTCCACCACTTCCCGCACGGTTCCATAATGTCGTTTCTCATCATCTGTACTATTTTCTGCAGTGTTGGGGAGACGTTGGGCGGCATGTTTTTGTTCCGCGCTGCGATCAATAATAACACGACGAGCTGCTGTGCGATCACCGGCTTCAAGACAAAAACGTACATAACGTCCACGTCGCAGTTCTGCTCGTCCTGCGAGATCTAAATCTTCTAAACTAACCGTAAAACGTGGGGCGTCATCATGAAGACTGCCGCTGAGATCCAACTCGGCAATAACACCTGTGCCAGCAAGGGAATCCCAGTTCTCAACATATCCATAGAGTGTAATGGGAGTAACAGGCTTTTCTTTACCGGTTACCGTATCATATAGACGAATACGATGGGCAACCGAAAGAGACTTTGAACCTTCACTCTCACTTTCCATTGATGTTGTTGTTGTTGTTGTTGTTACCACAGACGATTTCTCTGAGGCGAGACGTGCCTTTAGTTTCTGACTTGGCTCTATATCTCGCACATCAAACGAGACAGTTTGTCCCTCTGTTAAATAAAATCCCCCATCCAGTGAAGAACGTGGAAAGAAGAAACTAACTCCCGCCGTGTTGTTTCCTGTGGACTCTGATCCTTTATTCCTAATAGCATCTGCTGCTGTGGATGTTGAAGAGGCATGAAGACCTTCTTTTTTAATTGTAGAAAGTTCCGTTTCTCGCAGAAATCCGTAACCACGACGGTGCATAAAGGACATAACAGTACCAACACGTCTAGTGGCAACTTGTGGTGTTAACGATTCTTTTAATTCACTACTGGTTTTGCTCTTCTGAAATAATGGAGATGATGATGACACCAGAGCAGCAAGTCGCCATCCTGATAATCGAAACATCAATGATGAATAAATCCAGAAACGAACTAAGATTAAGTTGTGGGTGGGGGGTGAGGCGGGTCGTAAGTCAACAAACTATGTGGATTAAATCTATTATGTACTTTCCTTTCGCTTTTTATTTATTTATTTTTTTTTTTTACTTTTATTTTCTTTCCCTTTATGTGTTTCTTCACAGTACTCTTTACTGAAAAAAGAAGTTTTTTTCTGTTTTTTTTTTTTTTTTTTTTTTTTTTGTTTCCTTTCTGGTATATAAATAAAAAATATATTTATTTATATACAACTTCAGGCACCTCTTTGGGATGAAAGCTAAAGAATGGGTCAAGAAAGAATTCAAAACAAAAAAAAAAAAACAGATAGAAACAAAAATACAAACACACGTATAAAGGCATGATAAAAACAACAATAAGTATTTAGAGTATTAGATACAAAGAAGGAAAAAAAAAGAATGTCAATAAGTGATGAAGGAAATAAAATAAAAAATGCTGCAAAAAAAAAAAGTATTTGAATTCAATGCAACCCCCAAGGAGCAATATATAATGACGATGCTATTACAATGTCTACTATCTTACAACCCTTATTCTACCTCTTTTAGAGACCAAATAATAATAAAAATAAAAGAAGGCGATAGGTCTCTCTAACCACTAAGAGTTACTACGACAGCATTGCATACAAACGTTTTAAAGTCATAGAAGAAGATAATAATAACAACAATAAAATAAAATAATAACAAAAAAAAAAAAAAACAGAACAAAGACTAACACTAATGATCATTCAATGATGCATATACAATTCGACAAACATCCCTCAAGAATTGCTGATGGCAATTATCAACATCATATATCTAAGATACAAAACGTGCATCAATCCAAGATAATGAAGTGTAATTGCCAGAAGCCGCAGAAGCAATACCACCAGATGCAGTGGAAGGATCTTCCTTCATCCCTTCCTCTAAACGATGATTGAAGTCCTTTTTCTCCAATATAAGGTCAGAGCGTAGACGCAAAAAATGTATCTCTCCAGTAGCAGTACCACAGGTTAACCAAGTACCATCGTCTGAGAAAGAAAGACTCGTGACTGGAGCACTACGATGTGCCGGTACAGCAGTAGTAGTAGCAGCATTAGTACTAGTAGTAGTAGTAGTAGTAGTAGTTTTAGTAGTTGTAGATGTTTTTCTTGTTGTTCTTGTTGTTGGAGTAGTCATCGTTGTCATTGGAATTGTCCCTGAAGAAGTACGTCCCCATCCCCCGCCTGTTGTAGAGGAAGAGCGTAGATACACAAATGCCACAGGTGCGTAGGAGTTCTGTGATAAATCCCAAGCAGCCACTCGACCATTACTTTCCCCAGCAAAGAATACCGCAGGATGTGTAGGAGACCACCGTAAACAATTCACTAACGCGGAAAAACCATCAATGTTAATACGTCGCGACCCAAGCCAAAGAAAACAACTCCCATCCGCCGCAGCCGTAAGAACAGTATCACTGATACGAGGATCCGCATGAAGTGGATGTGGGGCCACTGCCACAACCGCAGCGCCATGTGCAGGAATGCTATTTCCCACTCCTGGACTGCGTGATCTGTGCATTGGTGTATCTGTTGTATTTGAAGAAGTATCATTCGGTGAAACCATTGAACTAGAAACAGGTGGAGTTGTGATTGAACGAAATTCCACTACACGTGAACTTTTTGTACGTCCTTCTAGAACATGACCATCAAGGCAACCAATAACAACTTTACTCATGGCATCAGCTGCCTTATCAACAAAAGCTGCACATGAACCTAAAGAACCAATAAATTGTCCAGTCATTAACCCATCACGGCTTGATGAAGGTAAACGCAGTTGCTGTAAAGACCACATACATACACGACCCTCCTGACTCACAGAATAAAGGTGATGGTAATTCGCATCTCCATGAACTGCCATACTAAGAACAGGAGATTGATGTGTTTGTGGTGATGGGAAGGACTGCTCAAATGGCCCCATAGCAGCACCTGCTACAACAACACCTGATGCTCCTGTATAAGCTAATGTTCCTAAATTTAACGATGATGGTCTTTCAGGGTCAATAGACATAACGGCACTTCTACATCCCTGTAATGCATGATCAATGCGCCATACCAAAATAGAACCATTTGCAGCTCCACCAAAAAGAAGATGAGGACGATGACGTGTACATGCAAGAGAACGAATCTCACTTCCAAAACGAAGTGGCACAACTGCACAAGCTCCATCATCCTTTTTACCACGTGGAATACACCACAAAAGCACAAGGCCCTTTGATGTCCCAATATTCTCTGATGATGTAGAGATAGTTGTTTCACCACCACTTTGCAATGATTCGTTGTGCGATACATCACCCGCCTTCACCTCCACACTATGTGGCTCTGAAAGAGCGGCTGCAGAAATAAGTGAATCGTCATCAGCGTCAGTATCTCCTTCAGATAAATTGTACTGAAGTACCGCAACATCCAGCACGCAACGACCCTCACATCCTAACCATGACTCTGCACGAAGTGAGTGTGATATAAGCATTGCAGTTCCAATCATTGACGTAACACGAGATCGTGCTTCGGAAGAATCTTCCAGTGGTTTATCAGAAACAGACGTCGTTGTCATATTGAGTGGCAAAGAACGAGCAGAGGTATTAACAGAAATATCTTCAATATCATCCGTAGGTTCAAGTGAAAGTGCACCAATACCAACCTCTATTTTCCACGAATTCGGACCAGGACCACTAGTATCTACTGTAAACCCTGTTTCTGATTCAGTCTGTGCTTTATTTATATTTTCCCCTACGCCAGTTTCAACGGTTGACCGTCTATTTAACATTACCTGTCGAACTGATAGTGAAGAGGGTAACTTCCGTGTCGTTTGCGTTTTAAGCTCATCCAGTCGTTGTTCCCCACGTACACTCACCAATGATGCCGTTGAACCCACACGACCCAACTTATCACCCTCAACTACACTGTTTCCTACAGCCAAACTTGAAGCCGAAGATCTCGCTGTACTACTACGCAGAAACGCAGTCGAAGATTGCGAACCACCGCGCTGTAGCTTTAACTGCTGCTGTTGCTGCTGCACAGAGCGCTGCTTAGCCTCACGTGCAGCGCGAATTTCTTCTAGCTGACGACGCTTTTCAGCCAAATCCATTCTTTAAATAATCTTCCTTTAATACGAAAAGCAAAGCAAGTATCATTAAAAAAAAAACATGGAAGCACAAGCCCATACAATAATGAGAAACCAAAAAAAAAAAAATTTTAATAATAATAATAATAATAATAATAATAATAATAATAAAAATAATAATAATAATAATAATAATAATAATAATAATAATAATAATAATAATAATAATAATAATAATAATAAACTAATAATAAAAGCATCTACAAAAACGAAATACAAGAATTCCTAGGGATTTTTCAGTATCTAAACAAACACAAAAACAAACCACCATTTAAAAAAAAAAAAAATTAAACAACGTACAAAAAAAAAAAAATGACTAAGAAGAACCATTTTCCTTCCCACACACGACCCTTGCAGACAATAACTTCTCTGTCAACGAAAATTTACTAGGAGAGCAATTAGTACAACCATCACCACTACCAAACAAATCGTGTCTCACACGTAGACGAACAGCATTTTCTTTATTCTCACGTAAAACATCTGTATACGCAGACTTCAACCTGGCCTTATCCCTCTCCAACCGAGACACTCTACCATCCAGGAAACCGCATTTTGACTCTGCATCACAAAGACGAGACCGTGCCAACTCCAAGTCAGCCTCTCGGGCACGAATAGCTTCTTCACGTTCACACATCAACTCATCATAAATAAGATCACGATTCTTCTCCACCTCAGCCTTGGCGTCCTCAGTAGCACGCAGGTTCTCCGCAAGCTCGTCGCGCTCACCAGT